TTGTAATTAGCTCTTAAAAATTCACAAACACTAAACAAGAATTCAAAAAGTTATTGAGAGTTTGTATTGATAGATGAGTTAGATTAAAATTTAAAAAAATTTTTCTTAGTAAGTTTAGTGACTGTAGGCAATTGGTTGAGTATTTGAGAAAACCTTGTTTATTCTTTCATCATCAGATAAGGTTAGCTTCAGTTAACATCAGTTGGCAGTTTAGTTTGTTATAGAATGTAGTCACTAAAGGAAAAACCTGGTTTCATTGTTTTATTGGCGCTGGTTGTTGTAACTTTGCATTATGAAATGCTTTCACTATAACATAATCAAGGTAATGACAAATCCTTTAACCACATTTTTAGTTCTGCTAAATGTAGTTTTTCTTTAGTATAACCAAATATTTTTAGCATGATTATATGGTATGCTTTTTAGCGTGATTATATGCTTTTTTTATATGATGCAAATGTTGATGTTTAAATAGTCATGAGTGTTTGTTTCTTTGTAAAATATATCCGTTTTAATGTATTTGGTATTTTCAAGAATAACCAATACATCTAGAAAATTAACTATATTATATATTTTTTTGTTCTTTTTGAATTATATGCCAAAATCAATTGTAAAATAATTAAATTGTTTGTTTCTTTGTAAAATATGTCCGTTTTAATGTATTTGGTATTTTCAAGAATAACCGATATGTCTAGAAATTTAATTATATTATATATTTTTTTGTTCTCTTTGAATTATATGCCAAAATCAATTGTAAAATAATTAAATTGTGCAACTTTGTGGGATGTTTGGAACTTGGCGATATCTAGATATTTTAGCAATATGTTGAAACCATCATCAACATACCTAAAGTAAAATTATTCAACAATTTTAGCTTCTTATTTTAATAATCATTTTGGTAAAATTTAAAAAAAAAACATTGTTTATTCTAAAAAGTCAATTATAGTCTGGTGCAAAATCTGTTACCATGGAAACCTGTAATTTGGCGAAGTAATTGATTGTCAAAGTAGAAATTCTTGTTTTTAAGAATGAATGATCCAGAATCTATGATGAAATCAGTAGTGAATTTTTCTGCTATTAAATTTTTTATGTTAAACTCAGAATTTTAATTCTTGTAAATCTAGATTGTATGGAATTCTTGTGTTGATATAATACTATCTGAATTCTATTCTAGGAATTTTTCTCAAAACTGCCAATCATCCTTTTACAAGTCTTTTTTTTCTTTACAATAGAAGATTCTAGAAAAAAATTGGTTTAAATCCAATGTTGGTCTTAGAGGGTCTATTCCAGTAATAATAATCCAACCATTTAAATCATTTGGCAGCTATTTACATAAATAGAGAGCTAGACTCTCGAACCTTTTAAATAATTTTGTTAAATTTTTATTAGTTTCATAAAAAGTTTCATAAAAAGATTTGAAGTGGTGTAGTCAATATCATTTTGTGATAAAGATTTATGTTTGACAATTATTTTTGATTTTTGATTACCATTTATCAGAATCAGTATTTGTTACATTTGTCAGTAGAAATTTAACAATTTTGAAGAGTGTACAAGAAATAAAAAATTCACAAATTCGTAAATATACATTTTTGAAGCTTAAAAAAGTCCATCACAAACTAGCTAAAAAAAAAAAAAGGTTTTCATTTTTCTCTGTCTTTTTTTAAATGTAACAATGCTATCTGCAACAATGGAATCAGACTTCCTTTCTGGTGTTATAAAAATAAATATTTGAAATAACACCTGAAATTGAAATAAAATTTTTTTTTTTACAATTTTAAAGGTTTAAACATAAAAATGGTTAGTAACCTTCTCTAATAGCAAAAATTAACTTTAATAAATAACATCAAGTATGTGATCTATCATAGTAATATAAATAGATTTATTGGACCACCTCTAAATAATGCATAAAAAATTTAATTAGTTGACTTTTGACAATGTTAAGTACAAAGCAATTTATTTCAAACTTCTTAATCAATTTTTTAACAACAAAACTAGCAATGTTGGCAATTTCAATTTACCATGTTGTTTATCTTTAACATTATTGATATCATTTTCAAAAATGTAAATTCTTTTATTTAATTTTTTATTTGAATTGTTCTCTCACTGTAAATAACATCATTCAAGCTGAAAAGAAACCTGCCACCACTCATGTTACAGTATTGTCCAAATTGTTCCTTTTAACAAATCACTAGAAAAATGAGCAGTCAATATAAATTTGTCTTCCAACAAATCTTGAACTTTTTTTTTAGTATCTTCACTTCCAATAAGGCTGCAAGCAGCCACTATAAGATGAAGTTTACAAAGCAAAATAACAATTATCAGATAACCTAAAAGATTGCAAATCAGAAAAATCAAAAAAACAAGATGAAGGGAATAAGTTCCAAAGAACTGATGTTCGAGGAAAAAAACTTGACGAATAAGAATTTTTAGAGCCTTTAGGAACAGATACAGTAAAGGATGAGGCTTAATTGAATGACGAGTAACAGGATTAACACTTTTTAGAGCAACACTAATTTAGCATTTATAGAAAAGAAAAAGAGAAGCAACATCACAACAGTGTTCCATACAAGGACGGATTTTTTTTTAAGCATCTTTACTTCCAACAAGACTGCAAGCAGCCACCATTAGAGTCAGAAGTTACTGAAAGAAATAAGATAAAATTTATAAAGCAAGATAACATTAACAGATAACTTATAAGATTAAAAGTTGTATGAATCAGGAAAGCTAACAGATGATATAGCAAAAAATCAATCAATTGCAAAATTAGCATCTGCTAATTTTGCAATTGATTGATTTATGGTTTCCAATAAAGATCGGAAGTAAGAGTTAATCCTTAAAGACGAAGGGTAGATAACTCATGAGTACATTACCGTTCAAGTATAGAAAGATTGCAATAACAATTAGCTGAAAAAAATTGTGTTTTATCAGAGTTAAAGTTCTTCCAAGCTCTGTAGCAGAAGTGAAAGAAGCAGAAGTGAAAGAAGCAGAAGTGAGATCCTTTTCAAGCTCTAATTCCTCTTCCAAGTAATCAGAGAGTATTGGCTTCTTATCAAGACAAAAATAAATGGTAGATGCTACCATCAGCAAACAATGCCACCATAGATGTGAGAATTTCTGGAAGATCTTTAATGTAAATTAAAAAGAGTATAGGGTCCTTGAGGAATCCCTGAAATTACAGTAAATGAAGAAAAGTGCTGTCCATCAAGGACTACTTTTATACTACGGTTGGAAAGTAAGAATTCAATAATCGCTGTAACAAAAGAGCTTATGGAGAAAACCAGCATGCCAAACTTTATCAATGACTTTAGAAATGTCGAGAACGATAACCTTAATTCTTCACATTTATCTGAGAGATAAAACATATCACTTATAGCCATTAACATATCAGCAGTAGAAAGAGAAGATCGAAATCCAATTTGATGATCAGAAATTAAGTTATTAGATTAAAGTTAAGAGATTACTATTGGTTAATTAAAGACTCATAAACCTTGCTTATGTTAGGAAGAAGGTTAATGGAAAGGTTATATCTCAAAAGTTTGAGAGATCTCAAACTTTTGAGATAATTAAACAATTTTAGCAAAAGTTAATTTTGCTTAAAATTTTATGATCACTATATTTATTATTTGGATTTAAAAAGAAATGTTTATATTTAAATTTTTTATTTCAAATTCATTTCATTTCAAAAAATGCAATTCATTTATTCATAAACATTTAATTAACTAATTATTTTTTATTTTTTCACTTTGAAATCAAAGAAAAATTATGATTGCTTATTCTGCCCATAAAAAATATTTGGTATTTTCTATCATTCTATATTTTTGCTTTATAAGTAATAATCACCCTTTTTTTTTTTACTGTAAACTAAATATTGTTATAGTCTTAAAGCTATTTTTATTTCTATAACCAAAAACATTTAGTTGCTAACTTGATAGTTTTAACATTTTGTTTTTAAATTTTTTATTTTTAAGTTTGCCTTGCAAATCTTGCTGATCAAATTTGATCGCTTGAAATTCTGATCCATCTTCATAAGGTTGCATGTTTCTCTTTTATTATCATAGTTGCTGCTAAATAATATCATAGTTGCTGCTAAATAATATCATAGTTGTTGCTAAATAATACCATAGTTATTGCTAAATAATATCATAGTTGCTGCTAAATATTGTCATAGTTGCTGCTAAAGCTATTATCACTTTTCTATCAACAAAGACTAATTTTTTTTATTTATTATATGTCAAATTTGAATCTATTTACTGAATTTTCTCCATTTTTATCTTTTCCTGACTCTTTAATTTACAATTTTTAAAGTCTTTTGTCAACCGTTTTTCTTGCTCTTTAATCGATCTAACTTTTTGGCTTTTTATTAACTCCTACTATAAAGAGTGGTTACTTATAGCATTGTTAAAATAGAATCATTCATGCACACAGATATATATATATATATATATATATATATATATATATATATATATATATATATATATATATATATATATGTATATATGTCTATATATATACATATATATATATATTTATGTACATACACACACACACACACAACACACTGCTCCATTATTCATATATGGACATCCATATATTTGCAGATCAAAATCTTTATATTTTTTTGAAAGATCAATCAATATAGAATGATGTGTAATAATTTAATTTTTGATATCATAAAGGTCACATAGGTTTCTTGAGCATTACAATAAGGTATATAAAAAATTGTCTAATTTTATTTAAATTGATAAATACAGGTACTTAAAAATATTTTTTTACCTTTCTGATTATTTTTTTGGATTTGCCATTCCTGAAAATAGCCAGTTACAACTTTTTAAGTAAAAAGATTAAATATTTTTAAAGTTATGTGACTTGAAATCTTTAAATAAATGTTAATTATGTTTAATGTGGTAGAATCTTTTCTAACAAATGTATTTTTGATTTTCATAGTTTTGTTAGCAATGTTGTATTAGAAATAAGTTATCTTTCTTATTTTTTTGTTCCAGAATATTAATGTACATCATGGAAATAACCAATCTACATTTTCCACATTAAATCTTCGAAGTGATCTTTTGGATGGTCTTCAAAACATACATATTACACAGCCAACAATTATACAGGTTTTTTTTGTTTTAATGTTAGTTAAAATATAAGAACATTACAAGTATGCCTATTAAATTATAAAGAAGAAAAAATGAATCTAATGCAAATATGAATAAATGAAAATTTCCTATTACATGATATCAATTACGTCATTAAAATATTTTTTAATAAGAATATTTTAACAAAAAGTTTTGAATTTTTTTTTTTTTTACAAATTATATTCCAACAAGCTAACATTTGTTTTGTGCAGTGTACAAAACAAATGTTTGCAGTGTTTACAAATTATTAAAGTTGACTAAGCATTTGTATGTCTGTGTGTATATATATATATATATATATATATATATATATATATATATATATATATATATATATATATATATATATATATATATATATATATATGTATATATATATATATATATATATATATATATATATATATATATATACAGAGAGAGAGAGAGAGAGAGAGAGAGAGAGAGAGAGAGAGAAAGAGAGAGAGAGAGAAGAGAGGTTTATTATATTAATTGTTTTTTCATTGTTACATCAATGTTACATACTGAGAGTGAATGTACATGAACTGATTTAAATAGGTAAAACATGCAGAAAGTGTACATTCATTAACTGACGGACAGAACATGTTTATATGAGGGCAGGAATTATCAAGACAGCTAATGAAAAAATTTGATCTTTATGGCAAGGATAAAAGAAATGTTAATATTGTTTTTGGTTTTAATAGTTTTCTGAAGATAAATTAATGATGGGTAAATGATTATAAATGTTAATAATATTAACAATAGAAACATTATTTATTATAAGAAAATCTTTTGTGTATAGAATTCCTAATTCACATTTCGCGTTTTTTTTTAATTTAATTTTTTAATCTTTTTTTAGTAAAATTATATATAAATGCAAGTTTTTGGAAAACAGGGTTTTTAATTTAGAAGTAGAATAGTGTAACTTAATGTATATACCCTATACTTATACATTATTGTATGTACCCTAAAGTGTATACTAGCTTTGTTCAAAAAATATAAAGTTGCACAGAATCTTGATGGCCTAAACTTTTTCAGCATATATTTTCTCTGTGAGTTAATATTTACTAGAAAATGTACAACTATTGTGCTACCCTCCCCCCCCTCCCCAAAAAAAAAAACAATTGCAGCCTTACCGTTCTAGAAAATTTAAAGTGGGCTACAAGTGTCATTAAATGATAGCCACACTTGTTTTTTGAAATGGTATAAATGTAGATCATTTGTGGTTATCACATATCAAATTTTCTTGTGAAGTATTCATTAGGAAAATTTACAAAAAAAGCTTTCTTTGTCATCTAATTAAAACATTTTCTGGGAACACTCTTCCATCTTATCAGGAAGCTTTTTTAAGTTGCTGCACACTTAAGATCCTTTTCCTTGGTCAAAAACATTCTTATTCCAACTATTGCTAATCAAGTAGTGGATGTAGCAAAAGCCATCTATGATGTTATTTTTTTAGTGAAACTTATAAAAAGCAAAATACTCGTGACAAAGTTATATTTTTTTACAATAAATGGATGTTCCTAAAAAACCATTTTAAAGTGAATTTCTAAATCTAATGAAAAAATGAGAAAAATTCAAAAAAATGATGGTTAAGCTCTAACCACTCTGCTGCTGATGCCAGCAGAGCAGTTACAGAGCTTAGTGATGTTATTGTTGTGGTTAACACCCCAGATTGTTTACAAAAAAATTCATGAAATTCAAAATTTCAAATCAGGAGCAGCTGACTCCCAAAAAAATAAATGAATTCTTCTTTTGCAATAGTTAAATACTTACTGGAATACAACAACAAACACTGAATGCATTCAAGGCACTGCAGTTGCCATATAAAAGCATCCTAATACAAAAATACTCTACCTTGCTTGCCGGCATTATTTACATGACATTATGATCAAAGAAGTATGCAAGTTGTTTGGAAACAATAGGTCATCTAATTTTTAATTGTTAAAAGCTTACAAATCAAGTGGAAATCAATGGAAATCAAGTTAAGTTGAAAAGACAAGTAAAAGAGCTTTTGCTTCACTTAAAGTTCAAGACTTTTAGATGAAGAAAAATTTTTTTTTGGTAATTTAAAAGTTGCATTTCTTGACCCGAAGAGAAAGATCTTGAATGTGACATTAAAGAATTTAGTTTTTTGTAAAAAATATTTTAGTCAAAATTTTTTCTTAATTACAATGAAATTTCTGTTTTTACTTTTTTGATATTGCACAATCTGTTAATTATATAAAGCAAATGTAACTATAATATTATTTTTCTAAACTTTTCACAAAATAAAACTTATAAATATAAATGAAGACATTGCAAGAGCTATATTGCTTTAAGCATAAATTTATGCAAAAAATTAATAATAGAGTTACATCCATAAAAGTTTTTTTTTTTTTTTTCTTTATTATTAACCGTAAGAAGAAAGCTTATGGAAAAGAACAGCATGCCAAACTTTATCAAAAGCTTGATGTCAAGAGCAATGATAAAACCTATCAGATATTATTGTTAGCAAATTAGCTGAAAAACAAGAACATCAAAATCCATATTGATGATCAGAAAGTAAGTTATTAGATTCAAGATAAATTAAAGGTTCAAAAAACTTGTTTATGCTATGACTAATAGGATGGTAGTTAAACTAAACAGATTGTTCTTCAGAATTTTTTAAAATAGGGATAACAGATGCTGCTTTCTAGCATACTGAAAATCAATACTCTGATAAGCACTTGTTAAATAGTTTTTCTAATTACCAGCCGAATTCAGAGCCATAAAACTGAGTTTTAGAGCTGTTTCCTCAATAGGAGATAATAGAATGAGTTGCCTAGTCATAAAAACAGAGAAACAAGCAAAACCCATGCATTGAGTCAAGAAGATCCAACATTTAACATCCTAAACTGGAAACAATGTATTATAAATAAGGGAGACCGGGGCTAGTTGCAACAGTTTTTATATATTATTCCTATTATATAATTTTTTTTACATTATATAACTATAGTTATAATATGTCAGCTATAAAAAATTCAGGTGTATGTGAATTCTCTCATAATAAAAGTATTGCAGCTCAATGAAAATACTACTTTAATGTAACAGATGTGCTAAGGGGGCATGGGGAGAAACAACTAACACTCTAGTTAATCTGGGTGTAGAACATATGCAACAAAGAAAAAATATTTGATCTACTGATTTTACTTTACTAATTTAGGTGTAAAAACTTACAGTAATAAATAAAAAATTTCAAAAGTTATTGATAGCTTTGTTTTTTCGATATGAAATTCTAATTTTTGTTTTTATGGGTTTCACTGTAAACTTTATGACCATAATAAAGTAATGGTAAGTTGAAAAAATCTTTTTTAAATGCAAAAAGATTTAAAAAATTAGATTTATTTAATGTAAATAATTATATACATTGGTTAGAGTGATGCCTACAGGATAAGTTGCAACAAATTGCTGAATAAGCTAAATCATAAAATAATTGCAGGTTTTATTAATTTTACCAACTTTCTAGTTATTTCTAAAGTAATCGTCATTTTTTTAGGCTCAAATCTCCTAATATTTCTACATCAGTAAAAAAAAACATTTAAGAAATCTAATTGTTGAATTGAAATAAAATTCTTTTGTTTTTTTAATACTTTTTGAATGTTTATTGCAAGAACATTCTTTTTTAATGAGTGTCATAGATAACTTAGATCAAAGTTTGATTTTTGTTTGTTTTTATAAAGTTTTATTTAACATTTGTTTTATTTTTTAACATTTTAATTATTTTTTTTTTAATTGTTATTGCTTTTTTATATTCTAAAAACAGAACTTAAACATCTTAAAATATTTTCGTGCATTTTTCTAAACAATTTTATTGTTTATTAACTAAGAGAATCCTTTTTTTTTTCAGAAACGCTTTGGAGTTTAAATTAACAATTAGTTTAAATAATAATTCTTCTTGTTTAATTTCTTCAGTCTCTGAAATCTTTGAATACAATTATCAGTTTACTAAACTAGTCAGGTGTTTGTGAACTTTCTCATAATAAAAGTATTGCAGCTCAATGAAAAAGTTGCAGCTCAATGAAAAAGTTGCAGTTCAATGAAAAGTATTGCAGCTCAATGAAAATACTACTTTCATTTAATGTAATTAAAAATTTTTTGTTGCGTAATAGAAATTAGAGGTTAACTTATAATATTTCTTTGAACTCTGCGAGGTTTATATTTTCAAAGTATTGAAATAAAGTGTCAGGAAAAAACATTTACGAAATACATGCAACTTAATATAAGCTGTGCTACTTCAATTTGAATAAGCATAGTTTAATTAGCATAATAAGACTGGATTCTTTATCAATGTAATACACATATTGGTCCATCCAATTTTGAGAATTTTTAATATAATGAGAACATGCTAAATCTGTCTTAATATTCATTTTTTTTAACTGACAAGCAATTGTTGATAATGAGAATATAATAATGATAAATAATAATGAGATAATGATGATAATAATGAGATAATAATGAGATAAATATAATAATGATAAATAATAATGAGATAATGATGATAATAATGAGATAATAATGAGATAAATATAATAATGATAAATAATAATGAGATAATGATGATAATAATGAGATAATAATGAGATAATGATGATAATAATGAGATAAATATAATAATGAGAAATAATAATGAGAACATGCTAAATCTGTCTTAATATTCATTTTTTTTAACTGACAAGCAATTGTTAATTGATTTGCACCAAATTTAAAACCAATTTTTCTCTGACTTACCCCGTTTTGATTGTTGACAAGTTAATTTAACTTTCTTTTCTCTACTCCAGGATTTTGGACAACCAGGGTGCTTTCTGTTTGAAAAGGATTGAACAGTTTCAGATCTTTTTAGGTTGTTTAATATTGCACTTCAAGCAAATCCTTCCTTTTTAAAATAATTTACAAATTTTTTTTTTAGAAAAAACATTTTGAGTTGCTTTCGAAAAGATTCTCATTCAGCTGCATTTAAACTCATTCTAAATAATTGAATTTTAAATAATAAAATTTATATTTTATAGAACATTTATGTCCACATAAAACCACAAAAACAAATTATTATGCTCAAGTAATTAAATTCAGATTTGTCCAATAACTTTTGAATCACCTGTTATATATTTATATAATATACAAGATTTGGAAATCTCTAAGGGAATTACTATGTTGAAGTCTTTAATAGTTGTGCAAATAAAACTTTACAAAAAAAGAATAATTCCAAAGGGAATTTTTGTGTAGCAATCATAACATTCAAGAAAGCAATATTTTTTTAAAGTAACTCTCTAATAGGGTTTTAGGAAATTGAAACATTTTTTTTAGTCGATGATTTGAATGTGGTTTTATCGAAGACTGGAATAAAACTAAAGTGTCAGTTTCAAACGTATCGGGTGGGCACAGAAAAATCCGGTCAACTTTAAATTGAGATTTCTCAATTTAAAGTTGACCGGATAAAGGTTTGTATATTCATCTTATCTATTTTCGCATCAGCATGAAAAAGAAATAATTTCAATTACATATGTTTCTTGTGGTTATCTGAAAACAGTTATGGAAATTATTCCTAAGAGTTAATAGTATTTATATTTTTTTACTCCATTGAATTTTACTCTTATTGAATTTTTAACAAAGCCAAAACAACATCAAGTATTATTCAAAAAATTTCAATCTTCAAAAACTTTGATTTAGCATCATGATGTTTTCATCAAATGATGCTACATCAAAAGTTTTGCCATTATTTAGTCGAAAGTTTTAAAATATTATCATCACACATTAATGAGTCTGTGGCGTAAACTTTTGGTATTAAAATAGTAAAATTTAATTTTTCATAAAGAAAAATGTGTTAGCTAGAAGTCCGTTTCCTTTTTGTTTGAAAAACATTGCATAGAAACACTTAGTTTTAACTTTATTTAGTGGTACTATTTTTATAATATGAGCGTACTAAAATTTCCCAGTGTTTTTCATTGAAATTACCTAGTTTAGAATCCTTAAATTGCATTGGTTTTAGTTTATTTTTGAATAAAAGCAAAACATAGAAATTTTTTCGTTTAAAGGTTTGAGTTGATAAAATTTAAAAAATAACAATCTATTTTTTTTTTTTTAAAAAAAACAAAGTAGTGTTTTATCATTAAAAAAGTGGTAAAAAATTAGTAAAATAATTTTTAATAATGAATCATTATATTCCACAAATTATTTCTAATTGTCAGTATGATATTTTTTTTACCAAATTAATGTTATTTTTTTGAACTAATTTAAAGTGCTCATATTACCAAGTGGTCTGGGTAATATGAGCACTTTTGCTACTTTTTAAAAACCTCTGTGTTTATAAGAAACAATTTCAGTTGCTCAAATATCTATTTTGGCCATAAGTAGTGATCCCTAAAAAATTTTTATTTGCAAAAATTTTGAATCCATCATAATTACTTTTAAAAATATTTCAATTTTTGCTTAAGGTGTCATAATACCCTAATCTACCCTATATATACATATCTAAATCTGAATAGATATAAATATATATGTATATTGATATATAATATAAAGTGTTGCATAATTTTAAAATACCAAGAATCACAAATTTTACAAAAAACTTACGTAATTTATTATGTATTGCATAAGTTCTCAAAGTTCTTTTGCAATTTAAACTTCAAATATGCAAAACTACAGTATCAAAAAATATATAACATTATTTGGAATATTTAAATATATGTTCATATTATTTAGATGTTGGGAATACCATTGGTTTTACAAAAAAAAAATGTGTTTTGTGCTGCTCAGACAGGTATATTTTTTGCTATCAAAATCATTATTTTTTCGTAATTAATTTCTAATAAAATTGACAAATGAATGGACCATAAAAGTATTTATTGATGTTTATTGTTAAATAATTTACTGAATTAAAGTTTATTATATTCAGGGTTAGAAATAACCCAAACCAAAGAGATTTTTTTGAATTTGTTTTTTAAAAAATGCGATTTGTTATATGAAGGTATAGGAAGTTCAATTTTAAACTTTACAGTTCCTTTACTCCAAACCAAAGTCTAGGTGTAGGAAATCATCTTTTGGCTTGCAATTTGGTTTAAGTTTCACAAACAATTAATGCTCATTGTCTATATAATTAGAAGATTTATTCTCTTCTTTAGATGCAGGAAGTGAAAAAAATATTATGCACTATTAGTCATTCAAGCAATAAAACTGTTCTATAGTAATTACTTTAGTTTAAGAAATAAAATAGGCTTAAATATTTTTAACTTGAAAAGAAAAATTTTAATCAAAATAATTGTCTACTTCTAACAGGTATTTGCCATTTGTACAGACAATGAGAACAAAATCAAAAGGATGAAAAAAAGTTAAGAGGAATATACACATTTACTTTAATAAGTTACGTATTTAAAGTTAAATTCTTTTTCATTGAAAGATTGAAAATGTTGGCTTTCATATAATGTTAAATAATATTCATGACTAACTTCTTCAAAAATATTTATATAGCTTCAAAGTGATTCAACATTGTAGTCAAATGCACATGAAACTCTCTCCCGAAGAATGAAGATCTGAAGCTATATTATATTAAAATTAAATAAAGTTTACCCTAATATTAAATATTAAAGTACGCCTAGCTAAGAACTTAGAATCTAGTTTGTATTATCTGTCCCAACTTGAAGTTTGTAGTATATTGCCCAACTCGAAGTGTTAGTATATCTCCAAACTTGAGGTAGTGTAAATTTATTTATCACTATTATTTTTTGATTTTTTTTATCAGTAAATTTAATGCTAAAGATTAAAGAAGATAATTTATGGACAGTGAAAACTGTTCAAAAAGATAGATTAGTGGGATCTAGAAATTATTTTAAAATTATAAAGATCAGAAAAAGGAGGAAAGTGGGAGTTTTGATTTTGCTCAGTTAATTACAAACTTTGTTTGATGTAAAATTAGAAATAAAGTTCGCAGGTAGAATGAATTCATTTCAATAAGTTAACCAAAAATTGTTAAAATATGTAATACTATTATGGGAAGTGTAGATATATGTAAGATGCTTTTGGAATCATATAAAGTTAAACAACATACAATAAAATACAACATGCATTTATTTTCTTACTGCATTGTTAAATATAACCAGAAAAAATCAGCTCTCTTAGTACAGTTTCTATTACAACTTGATTACCCAGTAACAACCAAATGTGTTAGAGGGCAACCGTTTATTAATAACATAAATCCTCCATCAAGAAGAATTCCACTAACTGGTAATATACCTGCTTCAGACACAAGGTTTGATATTTAGGGGCATTTTCTAGTCTTTTAAGACAAACAAAACCGTTGTAGAAATTGTGAGAAAGGATCTAGCTTTGTGCAATGTTCGAAGTGTAAATTATGTCTGAGTTAAGTGAAAAATCGAAACTGCTCTAATGAATTTCATAAAGTTGATATGGTTGAATAATTATTTGAGGGTACATTATTATTGGAATCAATCTTTTACAATACAACCTTTTTATAAGGTTTTAAACTTTGTAATGTTTAAAACTTTGTAAAAGTTGTATTGTTGAAAGTTGTTTTTTTGTGATTTATTTGCATGTTTATCTGATAAAAAAAAAACATTAGCAGATTTTTTTTGTAATATTGCATCATAATTGGTGACAATTCACTGACACATTACGACTAATAAATAAAACCCATTTAGGATTTACCTTTCTCATTTATAAAATATAAAACAAGAATATATTATACTTCTTTAATTTCAAGAAAGTCTTAAAGCATTAAACAAGTAGATACTGCAGAAACTTAGCTAAGTGAATCGCATAATAAAACTTAGCTAAGTGAATAGCATAATAAATCTTTGGGTGGATATTATGATTTTAGACGAAAAGTCAATACTACTTTTCCACAGCGCATATCAATAACTTTTTTTCTAACATTTCAAGTAAAAGATGGTGAGTTTTATGAAGCAAAGGCTGCATTGAAATGAAGCAAAGACTGCATTAAAATTTTTTTGCCACTACAAATGAGGCCTAGATACTAAAAAGACCAATGGTCATGTTTTGATCAATAAAGCTTTTTACCACACCATGTTCAATGACTTTTTGTTTAAAAATATGGATGATATAAATTTAGACAAGATGTGGTTTCAACAGGATGGCACTAGATACCAGAGTAACCATTACCATAACTTATTGAAATCAAAATGGTGAAAAGTTGATTTTTAAAAATGGACCTGTCAATTTTGTCCTAGGTTGTGAAATTTGACACCTTCTGCTTATTTTTAGTGGGACTAGGTGAAATCACTGGTTAATGCTGATAAATTAGCAAAAGTTGACGCCTTGGAAGCATTGTTTGTTTTATTGGTGATATACAAAAAAGTGACTCAAAAAAGTGAATTTTCGGAATGTCCAAAAAATTTGGACATTCCGAAAGCATTTAGTCAAGAACAACCATAGTGCGTGCGATGCACACAAATCATTTTTAAATGTTAATGGCATCTATTTATCTTTGGAATAAATAAATGTTTGATTGCAATTTAATGTTGTGTTGTTTTTGACTATTTTAAGTTCTACCAAGCTTAAAAAAGCACACCTTAATTTTGAAACTAAATATCATTTTGAAAGTATTTTAATCTAAAAAAAAAAATTTTTTTTTTTTAAATTTAACAAGGTTTTATCTTTAATTTGGGTGTGGTTAATATGATTAATTGAAAAATCTGAAGTATTTATCAAAGTGAAATTTCAGAAATACCCAAATTAAATAATGCAGATGGAATTCCTGAGAAGTACTAGCTCTTTTAGCATTATTTCTATCAGAGAGAAGAGATTCACCAATCGACATTTGTAGGTTCATCTCTTATAGATAGACGGACTATTGGTTTACTGACCAAATGTATAATACAGATTAATGGAATCTATGTAGTAGCTTGCACAGTATGACAAAGCGTTCAGCAAATCAGTGTGCAGCAAATCAGTGTGCAGAACAATTCTGCAACAAATTTTTCAAGATCTTTTTGACATGTGTAAAAAGAAAGAGAATCTCCAATTTATACTTATTTTGTCTAACAAAGCATAAGAATTGTATATTGCTTTTTAACTAAACTGAATACTAAACGACATTACAGCTTTTAAAACTTTTGTAATTTTATATTTATTTAAACTAGCAGTAAGCAACCCGTAATACGGGTTGTTAGTAAATAAATTATTAATAATACGGGTTATTAGTATCATTAATATCAATTTATTATTTTCTCTAATGAAATATAAATTTATTTTATATATTTTTAGTTCTGCTCACTTTTATTGTTCTCGGCTCCTTAACATAACTCTTAGTTTCATTTATAGATACAATTAACCATTTATTTTGATGTCGAACATTTTGCGCTAATCACAACAAACTAAACATATTATGAAAAAAAACTAATCACTGTATACGGCTCCCATATTATTAATGCTTATTACTTTAGCTTTCAAAATACAGTAAGCAAATATATCTATTTACTTTATAATTAATGTATATCAACATATACTTATTTCAGCATTCATCCCATCCAAATTTATACTAACGCAGTAAATATTTAGCAAAAGTCGGGAATATATTTCGCCTTGAGTTTGTCTTACCTTTTTATTATATTTTGTATAGGTCAGGCGAAATAAAAACAATTGCTTTTACTCAATATTTTTGAAGTAATTGTTACGCTTTACGTAAATACAAATTTTTAACTTAGCTGAATCAACTTAGGTGACTTACTTAACTTATGTGAATAGAAACTTTTAACCTACCTACCCAACATTTTATGATTTTTTTTTTAATTTAGTGTCTCTTTTCTTATATAATTTCCCCACTGCCCTTCAATCCCATAATCGCCATTTGCGGACCCCCTCTACCCCTCAGAGTATTTTATGGACAATCCCTAATGAGCTAAAAAGTTTATAAAACAGATGTTAAAACCATATAAAACAGTTGTAAATATATATATATATATATATATATATATATATATATATATATATATATATATATATATATATATATATATATATATATATATATATATATATATATATATATATATGTATATGTATATGTATATATATATACTCTTGCATGGTAGTTAAAAAGAGTTTCCCATAAACTGTAGTTTTAAAGAGCGCGTTAATAAACCAGACCAGAAAAAGTTTAAAAACTTTTTTTTTTTATGATAGACTGCCTGCCCAAACCAAATCCTCAGTCGATGTATCAGCACTCCCTTGCGAGTCAGGCTATTTGTCAGTCGTTGTAGCAGCACTCCCTTGCGAGTCAGACTATTTGTCAGTCGATGTAGCAGCACTCCGTTGCGAGTCAGGCTATAAGATAGTCGATGTAGAAACACTCCCTTGTAGCAGCTGGCTATAAGATAGTTGATGTAGGAACATTTACGCATCTTTTAAAAATGTTTTTTAATAAAACAAAAACAAAAACACCACTAATTGAAAAAAACTTTCTAGTCGTTATTATTGCGGTTTTTTAAAAAATTTTTAAAAAACAATAAAATTTAATGTACTTCCGCATTAATTTAATTGCTTTGACATTTCGACGACAATCAAATACAGCTTAAGAGACGAGGTAGTTAAAATTGTAGTCGAAAGAGACTTTTTATTACATTAAAAGACTCTTTCAACTACACTATAAGGATATATATATATATATATATATATATATAAACTTGTGTTCACTTTTTGAAAAATCGATAAAAAAGAAAGTCATACGTTTACATATCTTTAAAACAAATTTATTTGCATGATATATAGTTAAATATGTAACAAAAA